CGTTCCATGACCCAATTCTCAACCTACAGACACCCTTGTTCCCTTTACCTCCCTTGCCTCCCGCCCCACTCCTGTTCCCCCCGAGGACATGACCTCACTCGACCATCCCAGACCACAGCCACTATACCTACGGCAGAGTAAGGGGAATCACTATCACACACAAGGCAACAGACCAAACCAGAAGAAGACAAGTTGTAACAACAGGCACACTAATACGGTGAATAAACTAGTACGAAGTAAGATGACAGCAATTTAACTCACACAACAAAGAAAAACTGGAAAACGGGAGGTACCAACTCCCGCGAGTAGTATTATTAGATGTGATGAGAATTCTTGAATTGATTTACAGGGGTGCCTTCCAACATGTTTAGAAAGGTCAAGGTAAGAATGAAGGTCACACGTTTCACACTTTGCATTCCATCACAAGTTTCCTTTGGTACACCTATAACAAAAATTGACGTTTAAATATTATTTAGTTATTATAGATAAAAGTTATTCAAAAAATCAGCTTTAATTTTTTTTAATCTTATAAATGATTTATAAAATTACTTAAATTTAAAAGCTCAAAAGATGAGCATATTTTACTAATTAAAAGTTAAAGAAAGCTAGTAATACATTATTAATAAAATTTGACCCTTGCAAAATAAAAAACTTTTGTCCATTGGAATATAAATATGCGCAGAACTTTCAAGAAAACAATCTTTAATTACTTAAGTATGCGTCAATGTAATTTTCCGTCAAAATTGGCGTACCATTTTATATGTGGCTTTATGACAACAAAGCATTAGTAGTGCCTTCTTCATTATGAAAATAAATGACTAGCAAGAGAAGTGGAAAATAATAGATTCAATGAATAGTTGAGCAAGGTTGTCATCGAGGGGAAGTTTCACAAAGAGTACTGTTATAATGATAATTATCGTTATAGGTAAAAATTATTATAGCAATAGCAAAAAATCACTTAACTGATATAGCAAAATGTTATGAAATGGCCATTATACAAGTCTGTCTGTATAAAGCTCTGCTCCACAAATTGGTCTATCTCCGCAGAAGTGCAATGAAACGTAGTTTCTGAAGTAAAATCACCGAAAGCAGATACGAAAACACTGACATTGACTTACCACAGCGCTCTCGACAGAAAGGGAGAAAAAAGAAGAGCAACTTCAACTTATTCCAATTAGGGCCGTGTATAATTTGGTAAATACTGAATTACCGTACCGAAATCGAAAATTTTGGTATTTGGTATTCGATATTTTGGTATTCGGTATGTTATTTGGTTTAAGTTTTAAAAAATATTGATATTAAGTATGATATTTGGTATTTTAAAATGAAATACCGAAATACCGATACCGTACCGAAATATATATTATATTACACAATACGCATATTATTAATTATAACATAAATATAAAAATATAAAATTTTACTTTCCTTTGTTCTCTAAGTTCATCAATTAACTCTAAGCAAGTAACAAGACATTTCTAATGATCAAATATATTCTTTTATGTACAAATTTCTCTCTGGGTTGATATTTGCTAGTTTTGGACAAATTTTTTATCAACAAATATTTTTAGTTTTGTACTTTTAAGTACTTTAATTTACAATGTTACAATCTATGACTCCATACACTAGTTAGTATTCAAACCGAATAAACCAAAGTTACCAAACCGAAACCGACAGGAGAAAAACCAAACCATACCGAATTTAATTAGGTACGTATTGGTATTGCATTTTAAGAAACCGAATACCGAAAATACCGAACCGAAATATCTAAAAACCGTACCGTACCAACCGTACCAACGTACACCCCTAATTCCAAAACAATCTGGTTCATTTGTGCAAACAATAACTACCAGCAACTTTTTGGAAAAAAAGAACGTATTTCTCGGGAAAAAAGACAAGGGGAGCAGGGGGGGAAATGACCATGAAAATCGCACCCAAAAAACGCCCACGGTAACCATTGCAATGTAAGCTTTGGTGGTGCCAACTTAATTTCCTAAACTATTATATTCACATTTTTCCGAGTAGGTGGACATTCACATGCGTGCTGCATAAACAGTTCATGTACATATAGTTACTTAAGATGGCATGCGGTGTATTTTTGTCGAGAGCGCAACTCACCAGAATTTGCACAAAGTGACCTATTTGTGCAAGAAATCCTTGCAGATACCCAACAAAATAATCAAGTTTCTGTAATCAAATTCATTGCCCATGGTAACAGGAATTTTGGGCTAATTAACAGACAAAACTGCGTATAGTATAATCAACAAACAAGAAAATAAAAGAAAATGAGTTGGAAAAAGAAACAAAAAGAAAACAAAGTTTTTAACCAAATATCCTACCTAAAGCTCTCAGAGTTCGCTTCTCCTTATAGCAGCTCTCGCAGAAAATGTTGGGACAGGGCTTCTCAAACTATTGAATTCACTGTTGGCTCTCTTCAAAAGGAATAATCTCCTCAGTAACATTTATTATTTCCTCGACTTCAACTTCCTTTGCCTCGTATTCCTCCTCTTCATCACTAGCTTCTCCATCACGCAACTTCTGCCTCTCCATTTTCTCCTCTTCATGCAGCCGCTTCCACTCATTAATCCATGCTTCCCATTCTTCTTTCAACTTCTTCCGTTTCTCACGATCTTGCTCACTCAATTGCAATGAAACATCCTGATCCTCTGCCTCATACTTCTTGCTGTATCTTTTCAAGTTCTTAGCGATCTCTTCCTCTTTCTCCTTGCTCAAGAAAGATGGTGGCCTGGGGCGCCACAAATACTGCACCAAACAAGAAGCATTTGCTATATATATGAGTATCCAGCAGGTCATGTAATGAATATAAGCATGTTCCTTCCAAAAAACAGGCATAGCCAAGCAGAGCATACAACCACGTAGCAAATACGAAAGGATGAACAGGGAAGTTGCGTCAAATATACACGCAGCATTCGAAAGATAACAGGAAAACAGTAATTGGCCGTTCTGCGACTGCATAGTTTAGCTGCAGCAAACCCTTAGTGCTGAGATTACACAAGTCCTAGCACATCAACTAACAGAAAACCAGCCCTAGAGCATTAAGTATAGCATGCAAGAAAGGCATATGTGGGGGGTG